CACAAAGCGTGAACTGACCAAATGAAGCGGTGCATTTTTGTTCGAGATCACGATCCCAGCCATATGTTCACGGCCGTGAACTGGGTCCGTGATTTGAGATCGACCTAGGTATAAAAAGAGGCTTGAGCTGGAGGAGAAAAAGAGGAGGAGGCCTTAAGTGAGAAAACCTTCTTCTTCAACATTCTAGAGAGAGAAAGTGACGAGCAAGAAGGAAGAAGATGCTAGGGTTTCACTCCAAGGCAAGGATTTGGGAAATTCTTCCCCAAAGGAAGATCTCTACTACACAAGGAAGGATTCAAGCATCTCCATGATGGTTTCTCTCCCTTCTCCTTGTGTTTATCCCTCTCCTAGCATGGAGTAGTGTCCCTTTTCACTTGGGTGTTTGTGAACCCTAACTTCTACCATGTGATTGATTGTATGGAATGATTTTTTATGTGTGGGTGTGTTTTAATATGAATTTAGAGGTATTTTCATGGAAGATTGTATTGTGTGTTTTCCTATAAATCTATTTTGCCATTTTAACCTAGGTGGAGAGAAAATCCCATTTTGTGAAAAGAGGCTTGTAAAGCTGGATTTTCTTAGGCAAATCTTGTCTCCTGTCTAGGTTAATGTAGGACAACCCTCCTTGTACGTGTTAGCACCTAGGTTGGTTGTGTTTTGGCCGTCCAAACTCCGTTTTGAGAGAGAAAGCTAGACATTCCTTAGTCGATTAGGCCAAGAGAGCTACCTTGGTAGCTTAATATGAATTCCTTGGCCTAGTGACAGAGAGAGTGATGTTTCATCACTAGTTGCACTTCCCTTGCGGTTCACAACCACCTCCACCACATGTTTTCATTCATTCCGACAAGGCATGGTAGCTGAGGGGGGGGGGGGGGGAGGAGGAGGGAGGGGGGGTTGACTACACACGGGTGAATCCTTCTCATTTAGAGTTAAAACCAATTACTTTTACAATCGTCTTAGTTGTAGATCGTAGTTTTCAACAAACAACTAATCGATAGATATTATTTTTAATATTTATGAATAGTGGATCAAATGTATTCTTTCTTGCTAATTTGATTCATTATTAAAAAGTATAATTACCTTCTCCTAATATTTTCTTGTTATTTATCTCTTCCGCCACAAACAAATTAATAAGTATAATTATCTTCTCCTAATATTTTTCCTAGCCACTACGTTAAAACACCTAAAACTGAAAATGAAGAAGGTTGATTGATTAATAGTTGATAAAAGAATAATAGTGGGTGGTGCGAAAATAATAGAGAAAAAGACTAAAAAAGGCAAAAAGGTGGAGTAGAGATTTTCTCTCCAAAATGGAGGGTTGCCCTCTACAATGGATTTCCCGCTGAAAAAACTTTTCCTTGCCACTATATCAATGCTTGGAAACGGAGAAAAGTGTCTTGGTTCACACAATTTCCTCCTATACTTTCATTTCCCTCCACTTTCTTCCATTCGGAAAAACAGGGTTAGACCACCCACTGTGGGGTGGGGAAAAGTGGGAAAAAAAGAAAAAAAATGGGGGGTGCTTACAGTGGAGGGGGGGGGGGGGGAGTGAGAAAATAGGAAAAAAGTGGAGGGAGGGGGGAGGGTTTATGGGTCACAAACGACAAAGGGAGAAGAGGAAGGAGTGGGCCGAGTGAGGTGTTGGTGGGAGGATTTATTTTTGGGGTAATATTTTTGTATGGCCTGAACTTTGACCAAAATAAACATCCTGGTCAATCTTTTCGATCTATAACATTCTGGCCCGAACTATACATCAAAATAAATAATTTGGCCAGATCCGACTTTTGACCGTTAACTTGGACGGTCAAACGCGTTGACTAACGGTCAACGGGCCATGTCACTGCCAACTCAACAAATTTCAATTAATTTTGTTTAATTTACACCTATTTCCATTTTCTTTCCTTTATCATTTTGAACGAAAAAATGAAACAAATTTTCAATTCAAAATGATAATTTGTTTTATTTTTTGTCCCGAAATTGAAAAGGAAAGAAACGATCATTTTTAAATAAAAAAATTTGTTTTAAAAAATGATAATAAAAAAATTTTGCCCCGAAATTGAAAATTTGTTTTATTTTTTTCCGTTCAAAATGATAAAGGAAAGAAAATGGAAATAGGTGTAAATTAAAAAAATTAATTGAAATTTGCTGAGTTGGCAGTGACATGGCGCGTTGACCATTAGTCAACGCGTTTGACCGTCCAAGTTAACGGTCAAAAGTCGGATCTGGCCAAATTGTTATTTTGATGTATAGTTCGGGCCAGGATGTTATAGATCGAAAAGATTGGTAAGGGTGTTTATTTTGGTCAAAGTTCATGCCATACAAAAATATTAACCCTTTATTTTTTTGTTATTTTTTACTTTTTTGTTTTGTTTTGGGTTTTCTAAACTGTAGATCGTTTTATTTTCTATCTAATGATCATAATTAAATTCAAACAGACATATTTTGCAATGACTATATTTTCCAATAGTTATAAACGCTCATATTTATTCCAACTCTGTAAATAACATTCATTCTTCACATTCTTCTCCCACCTCTCAAATTTCTCTTCTACTATCCTAACAAAAAAATTTCTCATTTCCAAACTCTCTAAAATAGTGATAATGTCTTCTTCCAACTCTGCTTGCAATCCAAATTATACCAAGTCTGAAAAACTACGTTTAGTGCGAGACTTGGATAGAAGTTTCTCAAGATCCAATCGTCGATTAAAGTTGGATGAATAGTTGATGGCACTACTCATTCTGAATAAAGCTGGAGGAACAGTTGATGACACCACCCTTTCTAATTAAGCTGAAGGAACAGTTGATGCAACCACTCATTTTGACCAAAGTTGGGTTAATAGTTGATAACACAACTCATTTTGTGAAACATGTGATGAGTCATGGTCTTCTGAAACATTATTGTGATTTCGTCATTGATGACGTCATATTTAATTAATGACAAAAAAAGTTATGTCCAAATTAAACAAACTAGATCACAATGTTCGTCTTAATTAATTATTACTAACTATATAAAATGAACGATCATATTTAATTAAAATGACAAAATCAACAGTAAATTGATTTCAACAAAAAACACCTCTTCCACTTTTCACTCCCAACCCATTTAGGGATTTCTCACTCTAAACAACAACAAAAAAGAAAAAACCCACATTTCCCCCAACCCACCCATTTTTCTCTACCGGTGGTCTTAGGGGCTCAAGATACACTGCATAAACATGAGTTATGCACCCATCAGTAACTAAATCTGGACCATTCATTCAGAAATTCCAGATCTACGGATGAAGAATTAAAACTCATTTTTATTTTTCCTTGTGTTCTTAATCGACTCATATCTTCTTCGTTTTAACTCGGAATTTTTTTTTTTGCACAGATGGAACGAGTTCGTTGTGCTCTACAAAACGATATCCATTTTCAATATTTTTTTAGAATTTTTTTTCTTGCCTCTCGATACCAACTACATACCATATGGTATCTTCTTCTTTTTTAATTCGTTTTTTAAATTTTTTGCACAGAAGGAACGAGTTCAACATGATCTAATGGATCTACAAATTTTAGGGTGAACAAAATACATGACTAAAAAATACCACACAATACAACACTATATCACCCTGGTGCTATCTCGTGGTACACAATGTTAAAAGTCGTAAATGACAGTTAATATACTTATACTATCATGTATTCAAGCATCCTACAGTCTTGTTTTGTTCATACCACCATGGTACGCTTTTCAAACCATATGTATGCTCTTATTTCAATACTAGTCAATACCATATGGTATATAGACTGGTAAAAAAGGCTCAATTTCTTTTGTTTCAAAAATATATAAAAGTGGATATCATTTTGAAGAGCACAATTAATCTGATCTAACTGTGCAAAAAATTAAAGTTCGACTTAAAACGAGTGATAAATCGTCCGTTAAAGATTGAAGAGGGAAAAATTAAAGATTTTTCAAGAGAGAGAAAAGCGTTGATGTAGCGGCGATTGGATTATGCATGATTATTGACCGGGATCTGCTCCCGTCTTAGGTTGACGACTAAGCATGATAGCCCAAAATCCCACCCATGACACTATTTACTAAAGAGTCGTTTGGAAGTTGTGATTGTTAGAGTTGTAATTGTTGAATACATGTACTGTGCACAATACGGTGTTTGGAAGTGTCTAAGTGTAAAACAATGCATGGGTAGGTCCCACCAACAATCACAAAAATTGATGTATTATACAATCTCAACTTTTAGTTGAGATTGTTGAGATTGTTGGTTTAGATTTGTGTCAATTTTTTCTTTCCATTTATATCACTAATAGTTTTTGTCTTATTCTAAAAGTTGAGGGTAAATGTGATATTTCCCCATAAAAGTAACTTTATATAAATCAATGCATAAAGTAGAATATCAACAACCAAACAATGTATTGTTAAAATGCATCCATTGTATCAATACATGCATTTATATTATGGTGATTCATTACAATGTAACGATTTAACATTCACATTTCTTGCTCTGAGTTATTCCATTCTCTGGCTCTAATAAAATATCCACTAATCCAGTTTAACAAAATTAATATTTTTCTTCCATTGACTGACGCAAGCTGCTCTATTTTTATGCAGCGGTACCTGTTTGTGCCTAGAATGTACTAGGCGGTTATGGGGCTCCGATCTGGACTCCCTTGTCTGATCTCCTCGGGTGTGGGAGAACCTGTGAGGCGGGGGCGGCCCCCGGGATCTACGCTCCGACGCCCAAGTTAGTACGATATAGGAGAGTGTATGGTATGTAGAGAGATAAAGTAGAGAGAGAGACCTTAGGGGAAAGTGAGGAAGGGAAAAGAGAAGATCTTAGTTTGGAGGGTTAGGCCTCCTTATATAGGGTTTGGGCTTCTTTGAGTGGGTTTGGACCCAGGACGCCTTGCGGTGGGCTTGGGCCCGTTTATAGTCGTGTAGGTATATTAATCCATACCCAACAATTGCCCCTTTACTTCTTGTATTCTGTAAGAATGGAAGGAGTAATATAATGCGTTAATCGTGTATTAATTTGCCTTACTTACGAATTCGGATGATGGGGTTTGCCCCTTGTGCGAGTTGCGTGATCACTTCCATTGCCCCTTGCTTGGCTTTCGATGTCTTGAACCAAAGCTCTCAAGTCGTTAAGAGCTCCTTCGCTAGTCCATTGTTGTTAGCGCTTAGTAGACCATAATTTGCGACCTAGGTAGGGTGGCCCCCACGGCTTGAGAGTTTTAACTCAAGACGCTCTTGTTTCGTGTCACACAAATGTTGCGTCCATGCTGTCAGGAAGTCATGTGTCTTGCTAATGTCTTACTTGTGTGAGGCAATTTCAACTGTTCTCTTCTAGGAAGCTTAGTACTTCGCCTTTTGAGAGGCGCATTAGTCTTTCAGTTTTCTGGGAAGCGCCTCGCTCCTCGGCTTCATGGGAAGCGCATCGCTCCTTCGGCTTCCTGGGAAGCGCGTCGCTGCTCAGTTTTCTGGGAAGCGCTTCTCTCCTTCGGCTTTCCTGGGAAGCGCGTCGCTCCTCAACAGGATAATTGAATTTGCCCACCTTAACCAGAAGGTCTTCCACTATGCCCCTAGGATGCACTACAGATCGGTCAGCTAATTGAAGACTCATCCTAGTAGCACGGGGTTCACCTAGGCCTAGTTTCTTAAACAGCTTATATGGCATAACATTTATACTAGCACCTAGATCCGCCAAGGACCTCTCTACATGCAAATTCTCTATAGAGCACGGGATAGTAAAACTACCTGGGTCCTTCTGCTTCTGCGGAAGCTTGTTCTGCAGAATGGCCGAGCACTCCTCCCTGAGCTCCACAGTGGCCAGCTCGCTCAGCTTCTGCTTCTTTGAAAGAAGCTCCTTCAGGAACTTCGCATACTTAGGCATTTGAGATAGTGCCTCCAGGAAAGGCACTTGAACATTCAGCTTCCTAAGCATGGCCATGAAGTTCTCGAACTCTGCCTCCAGCCTGTCTTTGTGCAACCGAGTAGGGAAGGGGAGTTTAGGGATATACTCCTTCACTACTGGTTGCGGTTTAGGTGCAGGCACCTCAACCTCCTTCTCGGCTTCTGCTTCAGCTGCTGGAGATGCCGAGGCAGGGGCCTCTCTCTCTTGTTCCCGAGCAGGTGGATCAATAGTCATCTTGCCACTCCTGGTCATGATGGCATTGCAGTGCTCATTCGGGTTCTGAGGGTGAGGAATGGTCTGACCGGGCAAGGTACCAGGGGCCCTTTGTGCTACAGCCTGGGCAACACTCCCAAGCTGGGTCTGTATATCCCGCAGCACAGCCTGTGTATTTCTCTGACCAGCTTCTAGCTCCAAGAATTTGCCTGAAGCTTTCTCCATGAATTGCTCGATGTTATTGAACTTGTTCGCACTGGAGGTGGCCAGAGAACCCACCAATTCCCGCAGTTCAGCCATCTGATCATTCTGCACTGGGGCGGCAGGGGCTGCACCTGGCTGCTGGAAAGGTCGCGGCTGTGATGGAGCAGCATGCCCCTGCATGGGCTGATAGAGAGACTGCTGTGGCTGCTGGAATTTCCCCTGTCTGGGCTGATATGGTGGCCTCTGGAAGCCCGGTGGTCCCTGGGGAACTGGTGGTCTGGAATTTGCCCCACCCCAGGAGAAGTTAGGATGCTGGCGCCACCCCTCATTGTAGGTGTTACTGTAGGGGTCGTTGCGCCTAACATTGTTGATGAAGTTCACCTGCTCCTGGGGTGTTGTCGATTCCTTCATCGCTTGGCAGTCTTCCACAATGTGATGGGTGCTCTCGCACCACTGGCAGAGCATCGCCTGCGGCTGGCCTGTACCTGCAATCAAACCAGAACGGTCGATAGCTGACACCAGCTTCGATACCACCTGCACCAAATCAGATGACTGGGTGCCTACAGCATGCACACCCCGTCCTGGTGCTCGTCTCGATCTCCTAGCAGTGCCCCAATCGTATCCGTTCTCCGCCATCTCCTCAAAGAGTTGATTCAGCTGTGGCGGTGTTTTGGTCAGCATGTTCCCGCCACAGACAGAATCAATCAGCTGCTTGTCCTCCGGGAAGAGGGCATGATAGAAGGTTCCCACCTTGAAAGCATCGTTGAAACCATGATTGGGACATCTGAGGAAGAGACTGTTGTATCTCTCCCAAGCATCCCGGATGGTCTCATCTTCATCCTGGGTGAAGTGGGTGATCTGCTTCTGCAAGTCCGCCGTCTTGGATGGAGGATGGTAGCGGGTGAGGAACTTGTCCGCCAGGTTGGCGAACGTGGTGATGGAGCCTGGAGGTCGAGTGTCTAGCCACTCCTTTGCCTGCCCCTCCAGAGTGAATGGGAAGTACCTCAGCTGGATGGCATCTGCGGGTACCCCATTGATCTTGATTCCATCAATGAGCTCGTGGAATCGCCGGAGATGTGATCGGGGGCACTCCCCCTCCTTACCACGGAACACCACTGAACCGCGCAGCATGGTGATTACTGAGGTGCTCACCTCAAAATTGTTGGCTGGGACATGAGGATGCTGAATGGGTGACCTCATGTCCGCAGCTCTGGCGGTGCAGTAGGATCCCATGGTTTGCTCCTCAGGGATCATATCATGGTTCCCTGGTTCAGCCATCTCTTCTTCTTCCTCCTCTAACTGCAGCTGTGATAGCGCCTCCTCCGCAGCCAGTCGCGCCTTTAGAGCCCGCTTGAAGTTTCTGCAGGTTTGTTCAAGCTCCTGGTCTAGTGGTAGTAGATCTCCCGACTGGCTACGGGTCATGCACTACCTGCACACAATCAGCAGAAACAACCCGTGAAGGCACACAGGTGGAAGAGATAAAATGCAGTAAATAAAAAGCTAGAGTAACAAATTCTCACATTTCCCCAATAACCTAGAGGGTCCCCGGCAACGGCGCCAAAAACTTGACACGCCAAAACACAACACCAATCTGCGACCAAGTGTAATCGCAGACCGGGAATGCAGTAACAGGCAAGTTATATTATCAACCCGGGCTCTAGATCTACTGCTTACTCAGTGATTCTCTGTTATCTAGCCAACTAGAGTAAGTGATTGTTGTTTAAACTAAAAGCAGAAATAAAGCAGGAAATTATTCGGTTTTCTTAAGCAGGAAAGAGTCACTCGGGAATGAATCCCCCTAGCTCTTTAGTTAGGTTTCAATTGCAATTTACCCTGGGTTGATTTACTGTTGATTAGACTGCGGAAGATCCGGCAGTAGCTTGGAATCTCTTAAGCTAACCAAGCCCTCTCAGTCTAACTACCCGGCAGACGACTAGTCTTCACCGGGATAGAAAGCTGAAGCAGTAAGAACAGAAATTCACTACTGGAATTAGATTCCAGTACAAAGCAGTAAACTGGCTAACTCTCGTATAGCCAATCTCCTACTATCGAATGATGAGACTCTAGCAACCTAATCAGATTCTATCTATCTCAGATTGCAGCAGGAATCAGGAAAAGTTGATCAGACTTCAATTGACTCAATAAACATGCATCATTCGATTAAAATCAAACAGTAATATCATCCCAAGTTATTACAATCAATCACCTAACACATAGAACTAGGGTTCTTCATCCCCAAGTGAGAGAGAGGTTCTACTCCATAGAGAGAGAAAAGAAAACAGTAATCGGAGTAGTCATACTCATAATGATGAGGATAATCTGCTCCGGGATGATGATTTCCACTCCTAGGACGATCTCCAAGCTTGATTTGATGAAACCCAGCTCCAAGATGGCTTCTAGGGTGAGTTCTTCGCACTTTCTCTCTCTAAAACTCTGTTTTTGCTCAAAAAGTCCGATCCTCTCTCTTGCAGCCCGGAATTGGGTTAAAACCAGGAAATCCCGACTCACACGGGCAGGGCCACACGGCCGTGTGGCATACCCAGTTGCCCGTGTGAGTCAAAACGCCGCGTTTCATTAAGTTCGATCTTCAGGCATCTCACACGGCCAGAATGGCACGGCCGTGTTTGATTTCCATCTGCCCGTGTCTGCTCACGGCAAAAGTCACACGGCCAGAGCACTTCGTCACACGGCCGTGCGAAAAGTCAGGGCAGGCCGTGTTTGCTCTCGGCAAAACACACACGGCCAGAAATATGCGTTGCACGGCCGTGTGATTTGTGGGTGTGCCCGTGTGGCTTCCTTAGCACCTCGCCACGCGTCCGATCTTCATCCAATCGACCCCAAACTCGCTCCCAAGCCTTCATTCACATACTAGGACCTGAAATATCACAAACAAGCACAACCTAGCGTGAAATCGGCCTAAAACACAAGAAATCATATCTCAAACGGTGTAAGAACAGGGGTAAAAACATGTGTAATTAACGGTCTATCAAACTCCCCCACACTTAACCGTTTGCTTGTCCCCAAGCAAACCAAGTCAGACACAAGGTAAGCTTACATATTTCAATCAATCAACATTGGGGACAAGTCATAAAGGCTGAGAACACGTGAATTGAACTGGTTTCCAAACATCAACACATGAGCAACTTCATTAGCAACCTGGACAACCACCACAAAGGACATTCGAGTGCAGCAAAATCGAGTAAAGGAAGAGTCTCCTTTCTGTTCACCAACCAACCTAGACTTGACATCAACCACTTACTCAATACAGTCAACTCATGCATCCAACTCAAGACATCAGAATAGAGACCGAGCAATCTAGGTCCTCACCGGGGTACAAGAGTATATAGAATATGAAAATGAATCACTCACTCTCGACCAGTGGGGTCAGGACAATTTGATGCGAAAAATGCGCATGCTATTTCTCTCAATCCCTAACATCTCTTCACCATGATGGCAGCCTCTAAACGCTAGAGTTCACATATGGGTGTCACCACTAACTAATCCGGAGGTCTTAGACACAGGTTCAAATGACTGGCTAGGGTCTTGGACATGGGGAAAAGGCCTTTTAGGTGGTGGAAGTATTCATAGCACAAGGTTCCACATTTCCAAACCCAAACAATCACAGTCAAACAAACAGGTATTTCCTTTCTGCTATTCTGCATTACTCAATATCTCAAGAGCACAAGAGCGAAGGAGGTATAAATGTCAGTATTTCCCAGCCATACTGCTAAGAAACACTACTTACTGGGCATTATTCAGATTTTTGGTAGTGGCTCTCTTTGCTTTCAATTTTTTTCTTTGTTTTTCTCTCATTTTCTTTTCATATCTTAAGAGAGCCACCACTTCTGCATATATTTCAAACATCTGCCCAACTTTTAAGCACTACCTCCAACACTCACATTCAATTTAGCAGAAACAGCAGAGAATATGTAAAAACCACTCTGTGGAACCTTCTAAAAGATGTAAACAGGGGTGATTTTTTTTCCATTATAGACCAAAAAGAAAGGATAACACACGGCTCAAAGGGGCTGACTAGGGGATATGACACATCAGGACAGTCAAATTTGGTCGTGGGCTAATCCTATGCCCCCATCATCCTAGCTAGTGACAACGTGAATGCTACACATCATGGAAGAGGGATCTATCGCACAAGAAAGAAACGAGCAGGCTCAATTCTCACATGGCTACCTATATGCTCTATCTCACATTCTGATACCCTGAACTAGATGCATAAGAGACTGTCAAGAACAAGTAATCAATCCAAGTCACAGTTGGCAAGCAAACAGTTGGAAAACTGAACCCCTACACAACTCTACTGCACATCTTAGTCCTCATCATAGGTTGTCCTAGTCACAATCAAGTTGTCATGCATCAATCCGAAAACCATTCAATTCATCACTCAAAACACAGTGCCAATATGATCAAACAGCAGTACTTGGAGCCCTCAAATCTCGAGATTTGGAAAGTGGACTAGGCTCCAAGCACACATATATACATTCCAACCGATACAAAGCACCCCCCCACACTTAAGCACGACATTGCCCTCAATGGAGCAGAGGGAGAAAGAAGGGGAACGATGTTACCGGATCGAAACTGCTGGGGGACTGGAAGTGGACCAGTCAGCGAGAGACAAACGGGAAGATGAACAGTTCTGCACGAATCGAACACCAAGAACACACTAGCACACTGTGCGTTAGGGATAAGTGTTAGCCCAGACGGCTACAGCAAAAACAATCCACAAAAGAAAACCGAAAACAAAAACAAACGACACTAAGTTCAAGCTCCTCACACATGGAGCAAACACACACAAGTCTAAAATGAAAAGCAAAACACACTGAGATGGGCAACGAGTACAGCCTACTCGTCGCCGAGGTTATCCAGGTCGAAGTCGATGTCGTTCATGAAAGCGTCACCACCATTAGCACCATCATCACCATCCGCTGGGGGAGGTGGAAGTGGAGAGTCCTCCCAGGGAGTCCTCCAAACTGGCTGCTCGCCCGGTATCAGCTGGAGCAGATGCTGCTGGACCTCCTGCATACGCCGTGAACGGCGCCTCTCGCGCTCGATGTGGGCGAGAGTCACACCCTGCTGGGTCTGGAGCTGGTCCAATCTCTCGTCGTAACCCGCCATCCTCTGGTGGTACTCGGCCTGGTGAGCCGCGTACTGCTGCTGGAACTGCAGCTGATGGTCGATGATCTGCTGGTTCTGGAGACGCAGCTGCTCGAACTGGGAGGTGAAGTAATCCTGCCCCGGGAAACTGGAACTGCTACCCCCGTGCTCGAAGGTGGTGGGGCGGGTGGCAGTGTCATCCACATCCTCGGGCTGGACCTCCTCATCCGCTGCACCCTCTGGAACCTCCTGCTGGACCGCCTCTGGAATCTGAGGTGGAGGGAACCCCTCGATCCACGTGACTCCTCGATCTTCTCGAAGCAGGAGCATCTTGGTGAGCGTAGCCCGGCCAAAGGGAGTGGTCGCTCCCTGCTCCGTGCATCCCTGCAGGGATATCTAGAAATACTCTGCCAGCCAGGTGATGAGAGGAGTGCAGTGTAGTCTCTTCAGCTCAGACGCACTCTTCTCGAAGGTCCGCGCCACCACCGAGCCCAAGTGTAGGGGATGATCTCTCTGGCGCATGGACTGAATGAAGTACAGAGATCTCTTGGTGATGGCGCTGGCACTGTCGGAGGCTGGGGTGTAAGACTTGGCCAGCAGGTGATGGAGGAGACGGTTCTCGAGCTGCAATGTGGTGGCCTTCGTCTTGCCCGCCTTGAAGGGAAGCTGACGTGGCCGGGCGAGGCTGTAGTACAGCCTCCCGAAGTCCACCCCTACTGGCTCGGCGACCTCTGTGATGAAGTTCCTGTCATTTACCAAGTTGAGGCCCAGGGCGTCCGCCAACTCGTCGTAACTCATAGAGCGTGGTTCACCCCCGAGTCGGAACTGGACTGCAGCTTCATCCTTCCAATCATCTGTGGCTGCGTGCCTGAAGGTGGTGTAGAACTCAAGCACGAGCTCATGGTAAACCGTCGCGCGGATGCTGAGCAGGCGGCGCCAGTATTTGTTGGTGACAACGGGGGCGAGGTGCTCGTAGCAGTTGAGCTTTTCCAACTCGCGCTTCGACCAGTAATGGTGCTGCCCAAACTTGCAGGCCAGGACGTTCTGAAAACGATCCCGGTGGGGCGCCCGCCTCAAATCCTGAACATACTGATGTCGGAGGTTGGGCTTCGACATGATCCTGCAAAAGAACAGCCCAAAGTGGAACCAAAACAGCCAAGAAAAATGTTAATCACACCCCCACACTTAAGACAGAAAAACAGCCTAACCATGGTTTCATCCATAGTTCGGGGGTCAGAAACTCGATAAATCAAGCATAATCTGAGTGGGGGTGCACATTCACGATAAAATAGGCAACTTAAGGTTCACATCCATACCAAATACACCCTCAAAGCACATCATTAAGGGCCCCAACCGACTCCCACAACATGGTACGAAAACAGGCATTTCATCGAACACCTTGTGTGCACGATTAAGGTAAGCATGAAATTGGCACAATTCTTGCACACAAGGGCTCAAACAATCAAGAGGGACTTTGCCCAACACAATTCAAACACAATCCATGCATTCCCCTCAATCAATTGCACAAAAATCACAAGATTCAATAAGGTTCTCTAAACATGCACCCTAACACCCAATTCTCCATAATTAACATAGTTAAGGGCAAAATCAAACCTGGAGACTCAAGTAGAGGTGTAGGGGATGATGAGGGGAAGGCGATGGAAGCGACGAAAAGCCGAAAAAGGTGCCCGGAAGTGCTCGTCGGAGCCTCGCCGGCTTCTCGCCGGAAATCGCCTCCGGCGACAAAAATGTCGGCCAAACCTCCTCAAAATCTAGGGATAGGCCGATTTTGGTGAAGGAAAGGTGGGTTTGTTGTTGGTTTGGTGAAAAGATGACACAAAATGGCTGAAAAAATCGAAAAGTGGGGTTTTGGCGCGGTTTTCCGGCGAGGGGGAGAGGTTTCCGGCGAGTGTTTTGAATTTTTCTGACGACCCGGCCGTGCTGGCCGAATAAATAGGCCGTGTCTCGGCCACACGGCCAGACACGCACGGCCGTGTCGCTTGCAATTTTGCCCGTGTCGGCCGACACGGCCTGGCCGAGGAATGCCACACGGCCGTGCCATGTGCTCATATGGCCGTGCCATATTCTGCGAGAGCAGACACGGCCAGAGCACTCCTCTACACGGTCGTGCCGCTAAATGCTTTGCCCGTGTCGGCAGCACGGCCAGGCCAGGCAAATCCACACGGCCGTGCCAGTTGCACTTTTGGCCGTGTGGAAATTGTCGAGAGCTCACACGGCCAAATTTATTGTACACACGGCCGTGTAAGTTTCAGGCTTGGCCGTGTGAGCTGCTGGAGGCCCGAATTCAACCTGTTTTCACCCAAAAACGACATTTGACTCTGGAACAGCATCTCACGACTCACAAACACAAAAAATTAAAAAGAAAAAGGTAAGAAAATGCAAACCTCGGTGGGGTTGCCTCCCCACAAGCGCTTCTTTACCGTCTTTTAGCTGGACGCCAGTGAGTGGGTGCTCAGTGAGGTGAAGGAGCAGGTGCCTTCAAGAGCGGATCCACCTCGCTCTTGAGGTACAGCTTCAAATGGTGGCCATGCACACGCCGAATGTGGCCACCAGCATTTGCCAACTCAACTTGGCCATCCGGCAGGATGCAAGCGAGTGAATACTCGGATGGCCAAGGTGGGGGCGGGACCAGCTCATAGTGGTCTCCGGCCTTCTTTCGAGCAGGCTTAGCTGCCTGCTGTTTCGGCCGCCATTCCTCACTGATTTGTTCCTTCGATGACGGATTGGACGGGAGTGGCGGCGAAGGTATGGGAGGCGGATCCTGCAAAATAGGCAGCATAAGAGGATACACGACAGACTCGTGCTCCTGGTGAGATACAGCATGCAAAGGCGAGGAAGCAGGATGTGTATTAGAAATTGAAAATGTTATTCGCTCCTCACCATCCCTCAGAACTAGGGTCCCATCATGCACATCTATGAGGGCCTTGGCGGTGGCCAGGAAAGGCCTTCCTAGTATCAATGGCACATTCACATCCTCATTTATGTCCAAAATCACAAAATCAACAGGATAATTGAATTTGCCCACCTTAACCAGAAGGTCTTCCACTATGCCCCTAGGATGCACTACAGATCGGTCAGCTAATTGAAGACTCATCCTAGTAGCACGGGGTTCACCTAGGCCTAGTTTCTTAAACAGCTTATATGGCATAACATTTATACTAGCACCTAGATCCGCCAAGGACCTCTCTACATGCAAATTCTCTATAGAGCACGGGATAGTAAAACTACCTGGGTCCTTCTGCTTCTGCGGAAGCTTGTTCTGCAGAATGGCCGAGCACTCCTCCCTGAGCTCCACAGTGGCCAGCTCGCTCAGCTTCTGCTTCTTTGAAAGAAGCTCCTTCAGGAACTTCGCATACTTAGGCATTTGAGATAGTGCCTCCAGGAAAGGCACTTGAACATTCAGCTTCCTAAGCATGGCCATGAAGTTCTCGAACTCTGCCTCCAGCCTGTCTTTGTGCAACCGAGTAGGGAAGGGGAGTTTAGGGATATACTCCTTCACTACTGGTTGCGGTTTAGGTGCAGGCACCTCAACCTCCTTCTCGGCTTCTGCTTCAGCTGCTGGAGATGCCGAGGCAGGGGCCTCTCTCTCTTGTTCCCGAGCAGGTGGATCAATAGTCATCTTGCCACTCCTGGTCATGATGGCATTGCAGTGCTCATTCGGGTTCTGAGGGTGAGGAATGGTCTGACCGGGCAAGGTACCAGGGGCCCTTTGTGCTACAGCCTGGGCAACACTCCCAAGCTGGGTCTGTATATCCCGCAGCACAGCCTGTGTATTTCTCTGACCAGCTTCTAGCTCCAAGAATTTGCCTGAAGCTTTCTCCATGAATTGCTCGATGTTATTGAACTTGTTCGCACTGGAGGTGGCCAGAGAACCCACCAATTCCCGCAGTTCAGCCATCTGATCATTCTGCACTGGGGCGGCAGGGGCTGCACCTGGCTGCTGGAAAGGTCGCGGCTGTGATGGAGCAGCATGCCCCTGCATGGGCTGATAGAGAGACTGCTGTGGCTGCTGGAATTTCCCCTGTCTGGGCTGATATGGTGGCCTCTGGAAGCCCGGTGGTCCCTGGGGAACTGGTGGTCTGGAATTTGCCCCACCCCAGGAGAAGTTAGGATGCTGGCGCCACCCCTCATTGTAGGTGTTACTGTAGGGGTCGTTGCGCCTAACATTGTTGATGAAGTTCACCTGCTCCTGGGGTGTTGTCGATTCCTTCATCGCTTGGCAGTCTTCCACAATGTGATGGGTGCTCTCGCACCACTGGCAGAGCATCGCCTGCGGCTGGCCTGTACCTGCAATCAAACCAGAACGGTCGATAGCTGACACCAGCTTCGATACCACCTGCACCAAATCAGATGACTGGGTGCCTACAGCATGCACACCCCGTCCTGGTGCTCGTCTCGATCTCCTAGCAGTGCCCCAATCGTATCCGTTCTCCGCCATCTCCTCAAAGAGTTGATTCAGCTGTGGCGGTGTTTTGGTCAGCATGTTCCCGCCACAGACAGAATCAATCAGCTGCTTGTCCTCCGGGAAGAGGGCATGATAGAAGGTTCCCACCTTGAAAGCATCGTTGAAACCATGATTGGGACATCTGAGGAAGAGACTGTTGTATCTCTCCCAAGCATCCCGGATGGTCTCATCTTCATCCTGGGTGAAGTGGGTGATCTGCTTCTGCAAGTCCGCCGTCTTGGATGGAGGATGGTAGCGGGTGAGGAACTTGTCCGCCAGGTTGGCGAACGTGGTGATGGAGCCTGGAGGTCGAGTGTCTAGCCACTCCTTTGCCTGCCCCTCCAGAGTGAATGGGAAGTACCTCAGCTGGATGGCATCTGCGGGTACCCCATTGATCTTGATTCCATCAATGAGCTCGTGGAATCGCCGGAGATGTGATCGGGGGCACTCCCCCTCCTTACCACGGAACACCACTGAACCGCGCAGCATGGTGATTACTGAGGTGCTCACCTCAAAATTGTTGGCTGGGACATGAGGATGCTGAATGGGTGACCTCATGTCCGCAGCTCTGGCGGTGCAGTAGGATCCCATGGTTTGCTCCTCAGGGATCATATCATGGTTCCCTGGTTCAGCCATCTCTTCTTCTTCCTCCTCTAACTGCAGCTGTGATAGCGCCTCCTCCGCAGCCAGTCGCGCCTTTAGAGCCCGCTTGAAGTTTCTGCAGGTTTGTTCAAGCTCCTGGTCTAGTGGTAGTAGATCTCCCGACTGGCTACGGGTCATGCACTACCTGCACACAATCAGCAGAAACAACCCGTGAAGGCACACAGGTGGAAGAGATAAAATGCAGTAAATAAAAAGCTAGAGTAACAAATTCTCACATTTCCCCAATAACCTAGAGGGTCCCCGGCAACGGCGCCAAAAACTTGACACGCCAAAACACAACACCAATCTGCGACCAAGTGTAATCGCAGACCGGGAATGCAGTAACAGGCAAGTTATATTATCAACCCGGGCTCTAGATCTACTGCTTACTCAGTGATTCTCTGTTATCTAGCCAACTAGAGTAAGTGATTGTTGTTTAAACTAAAAGCAGAAATAAAGCAGGAAATTATTCGGTTTTCTTAAGCAGGAAAGAGTCACTCGGGAATGAATCCCCCTAGCTCTTTAGTTAGGTTTCAATTGCAATTTACCCTGGGTTGATTTACTGTTGATTAGACTGCGGAAGATCCGGCAGTAGCTTGGAATCTCTTAAGCTAACCAAGCCCTCTCAGTCTAACTACCCGGCAGACGACTAGTCTTCACCGGGATAGAAAGCTGAAGCAGTAAGAACAGAAATTCACTACTGGAATTAGATTCCAGTACAAAGCAGTAAACTGGCTAACTCTCGTATAGCCAATCTCCTACTATCGAATGATGAGACTCTAGCAACCTAATCAGATTCTATCTATCTCAGATTGCAGCAGGAATCAGGAAAAGTTGATCAGACTTCAATTGACTCAATAAACATGCATCATTCGATTAAAATCAAACAGTAATATCATCCCAAGTTATTACAATCAATCACCTAACACATAGAACTAGGGTTCTTCATCCCCAAGTGAGAGAGAGGTTCTACTCCATAGAGAGAGAAAAGAAAACAGTAATCGGAGTAGTCATACTCATAATGATGAGGATAATCTGCTCCGGGATGATGATTTCCACTCCTAGGACGATCTCCAAGCTTGATTTGATGAAACCCAGCTCCAAGATGGCTTCTAGGGTGAGTTCTTCGCACTTTCTCTCTCTAAAACTCTGTTTTTGCTCAAAAAGTCCGATCCTCTCTCTTGCAGCCCGGAATTGGGTTAAAACCAGGAAATCCCGACTCACACGGGCAGGGCCACACGGCCGTGTGGCATACCCAGTTGCCCGTGTGAGTCAAAACGCCGCGTTTCATTAAGTTCGATCTTCAGGCATCTCACACGGCCAGAATGGCACGGCCGTGTTTGATTTCCATCTGCCCGTGTCTGCTCACGGCAAAAGTCACACGGCCAGAGCACTTCGTCACACGGCCGTGCGAAAAGTCAGGGCAGGCCGTGTTTGCTCTCGGCAAAACACACACGGCCAGAAATATGCGTTGCACGGCCGTGTGATTTGTGGGTGTGCCCGTGTGGCTTCCTTAGCACCTCGCCACGCGTTCGATCTTCATCCAATCGACCCCAAACTCGCTCCCAAGCCTTCATTCACGTACTAGGACCTGAAATATCACAAACAAGCACAACCTAGCGTGAAATCGGCCTAAAACACGAGAAATCATATCTCAAACGGTGTAAGAACAGGGGTAAAAACATGTGTAATTAACGGTCTATCAGCTTCCTGGGAAGTGCATCGCTCTTCGGCCTCCAAGGAAGCGCCTTGCGCCTTCGGCCTCTTAAGAAGCGCGTTGCTTCCTCGGCTTCTTGAGAAGCGCATCGCTCCTCGGCTTCTTGAGAAGCGCCTCGCACCTTCGACTTCCTGGGAAGCGCCTCACGCCTTCGGCTTCCTGGGAAGCGCATTGTTCCTTTGCTTCCTCGGCTTCTTGGGAAGCGCATCGCTCCTTGGCTTCCTGGGAAGCGCCTCGCGCCTTCGGTCTCCTGGGAAGCGCGTTGCTTCCTCGACTTCCTGAGAAGCGCATCGCTCCTCGACTTCCTGAGAAGCGCATCGCTCCTCGGCTTCTTGAGAAGCGCCTCGCGCCTTCGCCTTCCTGGGAAGCGCATTGCTCCTTCGCTTCTTGGGAAGCGCGTTGCTTCCTCGGCTTCTTGGGAAGCGCCTCGCGCCTTCGGCTTTCCGGGGGCCGCCTCGCGCCTTCGGCTTCCTGGGAGGCGCATTGCTCCTTCGCTTCCTGAGAAGCGCTTTGCTCCTCGGCTTCATGGGAAGCGCCTCGCGCCTTCGACCTCCTGGGAAGCGTGTTGCTTCCTCGGCTTCCTGAGAAGCGCATTAGTCCTCGACTTCCTGGGAAGCACATTAGTCTTCGGCTACCAACCTCATGGGAGGCGCTGCGTCTTCCAGCCTTTTGAGAGGCGTGCGTCTTCAAGCCTAACCCGGAGGTTAGAAATATGTATTTGGGCAATGTCCGGAGAAGATAGGTGTTCCTCATCAAGCCTAGCCCGGAGGCGGGAGGTGTGAATCATTACTCGGAGACGGAAAGCATTCCCGGAGGGAACATCGCTCGGAGGCGGGAGAATTCCCGAAAGGGAGCATCGCTCGGAGGCGGTTTTCGAGCCTCGCCCGATGCCCGAAGGCGTGAATCATTCCTCGGAGGCGGAAAGCATTCCCGGAGGGAGCATCGCTCGGAGGCGGGAGCATTCCCGAGAGGAAGCATCGCTCGGAGGCGGGAGGCATTCCCGAGAGGGAGCATCACTCGGAGGCGGTTTTCGAGCCTTGCCTGAAGGTGGAAGGCGTGAATCATTCCCCGAAGGGAGGATCACTTGAAGGCGGCAAGCATTCCCCGGAGGGAGCATCGCTCGGAGGCGGTCTTCAAGCCTTGCCCTGAGGCGGATGGCGTGTGTCTTCGACCCTCTGCTGGGGGCGGGGAATTGATAAATATAGTATGAGGTGCTAGTATCCAATATTCTTATAGTATAAATAAGCATAGTATTTTATGATGAATATCCTAGAATGGTGGTGATGCCTCTTCATGGCGTTGAATTGAAGATATATTCTTGAAGAAATTACTTATCTTGAGAAATGATAGTAGAGGAAGCAGCAGGTCGATGGATAAATCTCTGGCGTCGCAAGATGTTAACAAATATCTTCTTGTAGTATACTGGTAGGTGTCCTTCCATGTCAAAGGAAGGTCGGCGGTTCGAAGGTGGGCGGAGGCGGCTGTCTTATTTTTTGATAAGGTGTGCGTCTGATGCGAGCAATGGGCCGAACTGGCGGGCTTTGAACGATAGCCGGGGCGCGTTGAGGGCCTAAGTGATGGAGGCGGATCTCGCTGATGGTGGACCGCGAGCTGGAGTCGGGCCTGCGCACAAGAAGTGGGCTTTCCGAGGTTGCTGGGAGGTGGGCCCAAGTGATGGAGGCGGATCTCGTTGATGGTGGACCGTGTGCTGGAGTCGGGCCTACGTGCACGAAATGGGCTTTCCGAGGTTGCTTGGCGTTCCGGATTTGAAGCGGCTCTGGGCTTTCCAATGTTGCTGGGCGGTCCGGATGGAAATAGGCCGTAAGGAGGCGGTCTCAAATAATGTGGGGTGGATCGCGAGTTGGAAGCGGGAACACTGTGGAACATGGAGTGCACATGGGCTGGAAGCTTGTCAGATCTTTGGCGGGCCGTGTTGGACACGAAGTGGGCCGCGTAATCAAACCTAGCTAGTGTGGAAGTTAAGCTTACGCGCCTCCTTCCCTAATTCTCATCTTCAATTTGTTCTTCGAGCCGCAGTCCTCTTTCCTATTTGAGAGTTGGGCATTATTTTCTTCATCTTCTTCAAAGCTTCTTGCCTTGTGTTTTGCTTACGATGTGTTCTTCTCCTTGGATTTTACTGTCTAGCTTCATTCGGCGCTTTCCCTGGCGAGGCGCTCTTCTTCTTCTACAGCGACAGTCCAATCTGCTCCAATTCACTTTGCGGCCTCAATCCTTAGCGTTTTTTAGCCTGGAGTCCTCGATAACCATGCTCCCTCGGGAACTCCGCCATCCACTTTTTTCTGACACATAGAGAAAGTGGCCTTGATGGACTCCCACTGTAGCAAACGAGACCCAACATGCTTTTTGACTTTTGAGAGCCGAAAGATGAAATATGTTGGGGAAGGGTGTCAGGAGCAGTCATTGTGACAACGACAACAACTTCTTCTTTTTTAGGTCGGAGCTCCGGCTTTTCTACGTCGCCGGCAATCTGACAATCTTCTTTTCTTTTCACGATTTGCAGGTTCACTCGTTGGCATCGGCGTCGGTGGAGACGAGCAGCTCGGTGGCTACTGGTGGCTAAGGCTGAGACGAGTGATTGCTGGTTGCGCTGGCGTTTCCGAGCTTTGCCTGCGGTGGTGAACCGTGGTTAGCTGGCCGAAGCTGGATCTGCTTCTCTTCCTCGAGCCCTATTTTTGCTGTTTTGCTTTTTCCCCTTTCTTCTTTTGTTGCGGTCAAATGTTGAATGCTTCTTCTGAGAGCTAGAGATCGAGAGCTAGATGGACGGTGTGGCGGCTGGGTGGTGTTGGTGTCGACGGTTGGACGGTCCAAAGTTGATCCTTCGACACGGTGAATAGCGAATGAGTAGGAGGAAGAGCCGGCGGCTCTCCACCGTAATTGATTTCTTCTCTCTTTCAGAGACCAAACAAACGAGTTCCGAATCATTGCCCCACGGTGGGCGCCAAATTGTTTGTGCCTAGAATGTACTAGGCGGTTATGGGGCTCCGATCTGGACTCCCTCGTCTGATCTCCTCGGGAGTGGAAGAACCTGTGAGGCGGGGGCGGCCCCCCGGGATCTACGCTTCGATGCCCAAGTTAGTACGATATAGGAGAGTGTATGGTATGTAGAGAGATAAAGTAGAGAGAGAGACCTTAGGGGAAAGTGAGGAAGGGAAAAGAGAAGATCTTTAGTTTGGAGGGTTAGGCCTCCTTATATAGGGTTTGGGCTTCCTTGAGTGGGCTTGGGCCCAGGACGCCTTGCGGTGGGCTTGGGCCCGTTTATAGTCGTGTAGGCATATTAATCCATACCCAACAGTACCTAAAAATCCCAACATAACTATAAAGATTTTCTGGGGCAGAACCCCCTTAGATGGTTTTTTCGTGCGCTGTGCGCAATCCACGGAGGGAGCACATAGTCAATTCCCGCAACCGCCAATTAATTAGACTGACGGGGCCGCCAGTTCCCTCCTAGAAGCCCATTGATTCCCTCCATCGAAGCCCATTACAGCTCGCGTCCCACTCCTCTGTACCACCCGGAAATCGAACCTCATCGAAATCCCCCAACTCGCTCGTTGTCGGCCCAACTCACCGCACCGATCGCATCTCCTAACCTCTCTCGCAGGAAGGATAGAGCTGAAACTTCTCCAAGGTACTGTCCGCAAATAAGACGATGTTCTCGACTCTGCTGGTCGGCCATCCTGTCTGATCCTCGCCGCCGCAGCTTGGAAAAAATCCTTTTCAAAGTTTTGTTCCCGCGGCGAGGTCGCAGCGAATTTCGGCGAGCGGGTAACTGTTTTGCTGAAAATGGCGGAACTGGCCTCCAGCCTCTGTAGCTACCGGAAATCGAGCATCAATCCCTTCCGTCACCCCTTGGTCGTTTAGTTGCTGGCTGCTCAAGTTCGGTCAAGTTAGGAGCAGAGGAATCGATTCTGAGGAAAGGGATACTCGCGTTCACGGCGATTGCACCAGCCCTAGCTCCGACTGAAAAGCATAGAGGAGTGGTTTCCGGCGGTCGAACTGGAATTGAACAAAGTGCATGTCTAGAGTTTACTGGCGAGGTATCTTTCTCTCTTCCCGCTTCCATACCTTTTACCAGAAATTAGAAGAAGTGGCATTATGCATTACTTTGAAGTCTGAACTATAGGTGCTAGATAGTCTTATTCGAAAGATTAGAGTTCATGAATCAGTCTGTATACATTAGAGTTCATAGTGTGCTCAGAACAAAGATTCTTCTGCTTGCAACCCTTATTAGTCAGATTGTTTGAGTGTTATTTGGCTAGACTTTAGAATGAATGAGTAGCGAAATAACCTGCTACACATCCCCTGCTAGAGCCATCTCCTAAATGCATGCTAAATATGGGACAGTAAGAACCAAACAGATGCTAAATTGTATAACCTAAGAACATCAAGCATTGATGGATGTGCAAAGTAGGTAAACTGTTATGCATCATAGTAGCTTCAGCCAAAAATTGAAAGCAAAAAGGTGAACGGAGCACAAGTACACATAACTTATAAGTTGCAGAGGGTTAATCCCATGCCAATTGACTAGCTCCCATCACAAACTCCACCTAACTCTTGAATCAAACTGAACCAAACATTGATTATATACTCAATTGACTAGCTCCCATCACAAACTCCACCTAACTCTTGAATCAAACTGAACCAAACATTGATTATATACTCGGATCCATAGAATCAGGACTACAAACAGATCAAAACCTCAAACTGTTCACAACCCAACTCAAACTCACAAAACCACTCCAACAAATAAACACCTATGAAAGCAATTGCAATAAGTACACAATTGCAAGAGAAAGTGATAACAGAGTTAGAAACCTCTGGAAAGATACTAAAATTATTTCTGAATCATTTTCCTGAGGTCTACTACTAACCACACTGAATACTATGGTCGAACAAAAATGGTTGATCAAGTAAATGATTTGTAGTTACCTCTTGCTCTCTCAAAGATTCTTCTGCTTGCAACCCTTATTAGTCAGATTGTTTGAGTGTTATTTGGCTATGATAATATCAATTATCCATCTGTGTCATTAGATTAGGTTACCCTCTATCTAATTTGACGAGTAAGAATTGTGCTGCAATCCAACATAATTGTTAATCCAAACCTTCAAACAAAAGAATAACAAGAGAACTTTTTCACTTTTAACTTACTCAAATCAATCCAAATAATTGCTCACCAGCAACAACAGTATATGCAAATGAAATAAAAAAGAATTCCTATAGCCTCAATTTCCTATTCCCAACCGCAAACTCCCTCCCCAGTTGTAATCTGTAACCTATCTCTAGCTTCCCAAAAATAACATTAACACCACAGCATGAACAAAGCATTATTCGACCCTCCAAAACCATATGATATAGACACAAGAATAGACAGCTCAATTGGCAATAACATTCGATGATGAATGACCTGAGTATCTTGGCGATAACAATCAAGTTCGGTCACAGCAAACACTAATGACCTATATTGCAAGAGAAAGAGATAACAGAGTTATAAACCTCTGAAAAGATACTAAAATTATTTCTGAATCATTTTCCTGAGGTCTACTATCTAACAACACTGAATTACTATGGTCGAACAAAAATTGTTGATCCAGGTAAATGATTTGTAGTTACCTCTTGCTCTCTCAAAGATTCTTCTGCTTGCAACCCTTATTAGTCAGATTGTTTGAGTATTATTTGGCTATGGTAATATCAATTATCCATCTGTGTCATTAGATTAGGTTACCCTCTATCTAATTTGGCGCCGACTGTCCTGAATAGCTTTTCCTTGAGCTAATTCCATTAATCATAAGAGCTAATTCCATTAATCAGAGAGTCATCACCACTCGAAGACAATAGCAGCAGCACCAGTCTTTGTTTCTCCAGTGGAAGACAATTACCACCACTCGGATACAACAACAGCAGCACTCGAGCGACAAATGCTCCACCAGTCCACCAGTCTTTCTTCCACCACTCAAAGACAATCAAGTGATTGACATTAAGGTACACAACTGTAATCCTTTTTCTTTGGTGAGTTATGAAGTCACCGAACTCAAATTCCACACATATATATTAAAAATCAGGTTACATGTTCATGTTTGTTTTCTTTGGTTCAATCTGCTGTATATCACCAATGAATGTACTTAGTGAAAGGGGTGCAAAAGAGAGTGCTTAGGTTCCACAAAGTTTCATAATATTCCTCTCTCTATCTCATTGGCTCGATTGTGTGGGACTCGAACTAATTCCGTTTGTCTAGACGCATAGAAGGCAGCCTGGAAGGCGTTCATTCCCATAAGAGAATTTACCAACTGACTAAATTTCTCAACCGAAGGTCTGGGGTTCATGTGGAGCATCCTACTAAATGAATCCAAGGCATCGTCTACGCTGGCGAAAGTTACATAATTGGAGGTCGCAGGAGTAGCAGTCATACTGGTTTTCTTCGCCGATGAAATAGAGAGTAGTTTCGATGGATGATCCTAGCCATGCTGAGCTGCTGAATTGCGTTGAATTGAAAGCATTGGCAACGAGAGACCCTGCCAACCATCAATACATACTACCAGCTCTTCGACCACCTTTCCCCGGTACATTTGGAAGTGATAAATTTTCATTACAATTAAAAAACAAATTTTTAAACACATACATGACAACATGTTAATCACAGTATTGTACAGTGATGACCAGTAAAATCATTTTTAAATTTTCAAGTAAATGATATGTTATTAAATTATCCATTGAATTCATTTGGAAGGGGTATAATCATTTTACGGGATTTAATTAATACAAAATAAAATTATTATTTATGCTATGATTTTAAAAGTTAATGTTGATGCTAATTGGTGGAATCAAGTAAATTTTTTTATATTTGACGGTAAATGTGCTCTTTAAATATTTTTAACTATTATTTTAGTCAAAATGTCGTATATAATTTAAATATTAATATGAGTTGTAAGAAAATAATTTGAATTATTTAATGCTACTAAAAAATTAAAAAATTAAAAAATTTCATATACCTTTATTTCTAAATATACTACCTAATAAACACAAAGCTCCCATCAAAATTGCTATTTTTATTTACGCGATTGGCAAATGAATCCGGCCAACCGGTCGGGCCTGTCACTAGTATCCATAATGCCACTAATCCAGTTTAACAAAATTAATGCCTTTCTTCCATTGACACACGCATGGTTGTCACCCCGGCCGGCGTGCCACCGGTTGTACCAGGTTCAACCGATACCGGTCATAAAACCGGCGTGACACCACCGGTATGACCGGCATGATCGATATACGAATCTCTAAGTTAAATGACTTTATTTTAGCGAATTTAATTGATAAATATTATTTTATTATTTATTTTATGAGTATAAAAGTTAAATATTGATGTTATTTGTTGGATTCAAGTATAAATATTTAGGTATTGGCGTTAAATGTCATGTTTAAATATGAGTATTTATAATTTTATTTGTAATATTGACCGACATGAACCGGCACAAACCGATATGTGCTACCAGTCGAACCATTCCACTTACTAAACCGGCACACTGGCATAAACGGCAAACCTTCGACACACGCAAGCTGCTCTAATTTTTATGTGTGGGTTTTCTATTTTTTCTCGTAAAGGTAAACAAGTGTCGACCTGAGGACCTCCCTCGCCAAGGTCAGGGTTTCTCAACTTCTTTCCAGGCACATAATTGTAACTCGAATTCCACCAGCGTCCCTCCCAGAATATCTTATCACTCCTTCGCTTCCAATGCTGCGAAATCCGTTTCTCTTCCATGGCGACGCTCTTTAAATTCCGATGCTTTCTTCCGCCGCTCCTTCCCCATAATCTCTTCTTATTTACCCAGCAACAGCAATCTCAGCTGCAATGTGATGGCCTCATCCATGACCATCGTCACCTCCCTTCTCGAGAGCGTTCATTGGTTTGCGCTTGTTCTGTTAGAATGCCCAGGTTTTCCTCCATGGCCTAAATCTTTTCAGCTGTAGGTTCGTGTTTCTCTTCTCCTTTCCCTGAGCGTTGGGTGAGTGATTTATTTCTGTTCAGAAAGAAGGTAAAGAGCAATGAGGAGCTTTGTAACGATATCCGGGAGTTCTTGTGTGCTGTTGGGCTCCCAGAAGACCACGTTCCCACCACAAAGGAGCTTGCGGATAATGGGAGGTGATTTCATTTCTTTTGTGTTCCTTTGCTTCTGGGTGGGTGGAATTGATTGCCAAATTCATGGAAGTCTAATTACCTTTTGCAATGGGCAAGATTAGAGTTTCGATAATGCTCATCTATTAGGAATGGGATAGAAAAGAAGATGGTGAATCAGTTGTAGAGTGTGCATTCTTGTATCATTGGTGTATTCCTAGCCGTATCCATTTACCTCCATAGCCATTTGCTTGGTATTTCTTGGCAATGTGATATTAGTACTACTAATTCTATAATGATCAGCTTACAACCTGTTTGCCCTTGTTTTCTTTCCATATTTATGCAAATCGATTTCTGCAGAAGTGACCTTGCCAATGTTGTGAGACGTAGAGGTTACAAGCGGATAAGAGAGCTTCTTGTTAATTCGCCCTCAGTAGATGTTGATGGGTCCTCAGAATTTCAAAGCTTTGATAAGGAAGGCAATTCAATCCATGAGCTAGCCTGTCTTGGAACAGGTCAAACATGTTTTCCCTGACTTCTCTTGGATACTTGTTATAATCCCAATTTCCACTCTACTTGATACCTTTTCGCTATTTAAAAGGCCAGATGAGAGTGCAAATGTATAATGGTACGACTGGAGATAGTAGAAATAATGGTAAAGATCAAAATATATCCAGTCCTCTAGAGTCATCATTTCACAGCTACTCAGCTGAACATGGGTGCGGAAACGAAGAGGTTAAATAAACTTCTCAAAATTGCACAACATCATCCTCCCTATCTAAGTCAGAGCAGCATGATGAAGGTGTTGAATTTGTGAAGGATGAAAAGGTTTTAGGCATTAACTTGGATGATTGGTCCTGAAGGGGCAAAACACGCATTCAGGTTTTAGGAGTAGTGACAACACTCAGGTGCCTATGGAATCAGACGATTCAAAAGGTTAGGTTGAGAAAGTCACCATATTTGTGCAAACATGTCAACAAAATTGTGGAATGAGAATTATTTCACGTTGAGTATTTTTCTAGGTCTTGATGTCGGCAATCCTAGTTGGACACGGATGGATTTGATGGCTGATGAATCATTAGAGGAGAAGGTGGCAAAGTTTATTCATACTGGAGATTTAGATGCTGTTGAAGGTAATGTTCATAAAAGTTACTGTTAGCTCAGTCCTCCATGGAAAGAACCAGTACATGATAAAAAGTTTTCCACATGTTGAGTACTTTTAATAGAAAGCCTTATTGGGCCTACAACTTATATTTGAGTAGATAATCAATTGAATTTATCTGGGACTTTGCTCAATTCTGACTAGGTTTCATCCTTTTGAAATTTGACATAGAAATGGAAGAAAAAGAGACCAAAGTTATACATAACGAAGCAATGAAATTGATCAGTTCTTCAGTATTTAGATCTTTTATGTGCTTTTGGGCTTTCGAGTATATTGAAGTAGATTAAGTTATTTGACTTGTGCTTCTTACTTTTCGACGTATGTTAATATTTATGCTGCCTCTTATTGAACCTCTCTATTCATTTATGTTCCCTATTAACTGTGTGAATTACACAGTGTAATAATTCTCACTGGTCCAGTATGTATTACATGATTATAATGTCTTTGGGAAGTATGATGAACATGCTGTTGAAACCCTATCCATTTGGCGGAGACCACTTATGAAGGTGATTTTGCAGATAGAGTGTTCAGTCCCACTACTGCTTTTAGTGTAAATGGAAAGGCACCGACATCAACATCAGTTACTCTCATCGGTGTGAACCAAGCTATCAGGTTGTGTTTTGGTCATTCTCTTGAAACACAACTTTCTTTTCGTTCTTACATTTGATTAACTAGAAGACTGAGCAAGGTGACTGACTATTCGTAATTTTGACATATAGTGTCTCTAATACCGTTATCTCTATTGTTCTTTCTGAGGGATTTCGCTTTGCTGTGTGCTGCTGTTTTTGGTTTCTGAAATGTATTTTAGATTGTATATTTCCCATTTGTGATCCTTTATAATCTCTTTCCATCTCATACTTATCATTATTAATTGTAGGAATGATGATGCATCTACTAAATCTCATACTCTTTCTGATCTCGAGAAAGACTTCATTGTTGAGGTAGTTATCTTTTTGTGTGACGACCCATTGTTGCTATTTGTGTTTAAATTGAAAAGGTTTCTAGGCTGCTTATATCTAAGCTGATTGCTGACATTTGTGTTTTGTGGTACAGACTGATAGAAAGGAGAAGGATATTGAGATAAATGATCTCGAATTAATGATGGTATCTATATATGTTTCTTTTTGTTTAACCCATGGAGTTTAGCTGCATGAGCTGACTTGTACTGATATATCTGTGTAGCAACAAAAGGAGTTGGAGTTGATCCGGTTGCAGGAACTGATTGAGAAGGAAACGGTAGATTGTGTACCTTTTTTATCCAGTTTTGAGACAAATGGTACTTAATGCTTGCATGTGTAATAACAGTTCACTTCCTGGTGTTTTGCAGCGTACTTTGTCTGATCTGCAAAGAAATGCTGAAACAGAGATTACAAAGGCCCAAAACCTTCTTGCAGAAAAAGATGCAGAATTGTTTGCTGTAGAAAGTTTGACAGGCCTTGTTCAGGTATTTCTTTTATCGCTTTTCCTTGTTAATAAGTTCAAATTTTTGCCAAGTTATAGTCAGTCGTCTTCCCATTCTGCTGGTCTGTCGCTTTGAAAAACTAATTGGTCGATAGGTCTGCCCCAAATTCATTGCTTAGTGGTTTGTGTAATTTTGTCAGGTCACAATCCAGTACCACGGGGATGGTCAAAGTGTGGAGGTTTCAGGTAGCTTCAATGGTTGGCATCACAAAATTGTTATGGATCCCAAGCCATCTTCAGATGAAAACATCATGGAGTCAAGGTGCTAGATCCCTTCTCTTCTATAAATATCCCAAGGATTCTGGTATATAGTTTGCCATAATTTCAGAGTTAATTTTCTGTCTCGTTTTGCAGCAAAATTATGTTGGATGCTGAGCCCTCTTCTTCAGATGAAAATATTGCAGAATCAAGGTGATAGATCCCATCTCTTCTATAAATATCCTAAGCATTCTAGTCTGTTGTTTGGCATGTTCTGGGACCAACTTTCTTCATCTCCTGTGCAGCAAAATTATGACGGATCCTGAACCATCTTCAGATAAAAATATCACTGAGTCAAGGTGATAGATCCCTTCTTTTATTAAAAGAAACTAAGGTTTTGGGTCTGTGCCTCTGTGGTATGCCCTCTTTTTTGTTTAACTTTCTTCGTCTCACTTTGAAGCATATAAGGTGCAGTCTCCTCCCATTATTGGTCATGTATAGTTGTAGCAATCTAAGGATTATGGCCGAAACCAAGTTGCCATTAGTCCGCGTATGGAGTCTGCCAAAGAAGATTTGGACTGCCCTATACTTGAATATTCTGATGGACTGCCCTATACTTGAATATTCTGAGTTCGTTTGTGGTTGTTTACTAACTCCTTGCAAGTATTTTTTGTTATTTATTCCAGGAAATCAAATATTTGGTCTACAACACTGTGGCTTTATCCAGGAGTATACGAGGTGTGTCACAGAATCAGACTCCAATGCGTGAAAATATTAGTATGCTGTTTATTGAGATTGGAACATTGAACTTGCCAACATACCTTGGGTGATCCATTCTCTTCTTTGTTTTACATTACGTTATTGCAGATAAAATTCATAGTGGATGGAGAATGGAAAACTGATGATGAGATGGAGTCCGTCAGCCAAGCTGGAATTTATAACAACATTCTTCGAGTTGCAAGAGATGATTGAGAGGACAGTTGGTTGAGAACTCCATAGTCTGGTAATGTTCATAGATAGCAGTCTTAAAGGTTGTATAAAGAGTTTAGTAGTCATTAGTGTATATTTGATCCCTGTTCCAGACATGATATAAGATCTAATGCATCTATATGCAAAGCAGATGAGCTATTTAGTTACTCTGTAGAATCTGTTGTGTGGGCCAACAGAAACACGAGGAATGAATATGATGCTCATATAACCCTTTAAAGTCGGAATGAGATGTAACCTCCTTGATAAATTCATTCTCCATACTCTCTTTATCATGTTTTGCATATTTACCATTCTGATTCTGATAGAACCTGGGATTAGGGTTCTATCGGGAATTGGGGATTTAGGGATTAAGAACAGAATTAGGGATTTGAGAAGAGAAAGATAGAGAATCGGCCTAGGCCTTTAGAGGGATTGAGAACGAGAATTGAGAGGATTAGGAGAATAGGGTTTAGGAAGGCTTTTCTTAATATTCTTCTTGACTGATTATGAATGAAGGACCAATTACATATTTATAGCGAAAGACTAGAAAAACCTAATAGACTATCCTAATATGACTCAATCACTACTACCATATCTAATAATATCCTAATTATATTAATATTGATAATTATGGTTAACCTAAAAAATAGGTTTCCATCATCCCCTTCCCCTTGAAAACCAACCTTGTCCTCAAGGTTGACCAACTCGACCAACTTCTTCACATCGTTCATGCAACCCGCGCATTTGATCCTCCATTTCTTGCGCTTTCTTTTCTTCCAATTCTTCTCCATATCTGGGCTTCTTACTTCTCCACATGTTTTTGGGCCCTGCTCTAGTGGAACTGTTCTTGAAAGATAGTGAGCCCATCTCCTTCAATACAGTAACCACATCGGCCCTTACCCTTCCATGCAGACTAGGCCCACGATTCTTGATTCTCGGCCCATAGATTGAACCAGGTTCTGGGCGATCTTTTCCAAACTGATACCCAGACATCAGTTTCCAACTTGGCCCACCGCTTATTTCCTCCTTTGATCCCATTTTCTCTGGCCTCTCGGCCCACTTGGCCACGACATTCGCTCGGCCCAATTCCCGCTGTCCTGACCCGCCGACCCACATCCTTCGGCCCAAAGACCCGAACTGTTGCTGTTGCTGTGCAGCGCCCACCAATGCGCGCCGCCTAGGGTTTGCAAGAGGAGCGACGTCGTCCTCTTCCCCTTCCTTCGCCGGCGGATCCCACTTCCTCATCATCGTCTCCATCAGCTCCGTCGGCGGCGATCCCCTAACACCGTGACCAGGCGACCAGTCTTCTCCGGCCTTCTTCTCCCTATCCTCCTTCCTTCCTGGCGGCGAGCGAGGGATCTCACCGCTAGTCCTTGAATTAATCTCCCCGACACCCGACGTCACGAACGGCTCAAGCTGCCCACTTCGAGACTCCTTCCTCGGCGGTAATGCTCTCCTCCATCGGCGTGGAAGTTTGCCCACTCCCGACCTCTTCTTCGACCTCACCTCTACTGCGTTCGACGGTGCCGGGAAGATCCTCTTCTCCGCCGCCTCTCTCTCTTCTTCGCGACTCGGCGAGGAACCGCCCAGCTGGCGGCACAGCGACGCGCTCGCTCCGCGTGACGACGACGAGATGACTCGACGACCCTTCCCCTGTCCTCCTTGGCGCCATCCATTGATTTCAGCTCCGACCTCCGACTTCCACTTCTTCTTCTCCGACGGCGTGTTATCCTCCAGCAGCTTCCGCCTCTGTTTCTTCTTCTTCCTCTTCTTGAATTTCCAGCCCTTGATTGGAATTGGAGTCGTTCTAGGGGCACTCTGAACCTTCTCAACAGCCCTCGATTGGAATTGTGCCATTCGGACATCTTCTTTGTTGTGCTGTCCTGGAAGAATAGCCGCAGCGGCCGGATCGATGAAGGGTGATGCCTTGGTCTTCCCTTGCAACTGCGAGGCAGCAACGACGAGGATTAAAGGTGGTGCTGGTGATGATTCCTCGTCCGCGAAAGCTGTTGGAAGGATGGCAGCGGCTGGCGGTATTGGGACATGGCCACGGTGGTCATCAAGCGTGGCGACTTGCTTCGGTGGAGGTGCAGCTGCAGCGACGACCACGTTGGTCGATGGTAGTGGTGCTGATGAATCCTCTGACGACGCCTCTGCTGGTTGCGGGTCGCGCGACGGCGGACCGCATAGCGCTCGAGTTTGGCTAGAAGTTCTTTCAGGCCTGCTATCATATAGTCGTCGTGAGCTTCCCTCCTAGCTAAACTGGCTTGGAGAGCTTCAAACGTGTGATAGGGTTTCTGATAACAATTCCCTGGTGAGAGTTCTGATGTACTCAAATCAGTGACCATGGCTCTGATACCAAATGATAGAACCTGGGATTAGGGTTCTATCGGGAATTGGGGATTTAGGGATTAAGAATAGAATTAGGGATTTGAGAAGAGAAAGATAGAGAATCGGCCTAGGCCTTTAGAGGGATTGGGAACGAGAATTGAGAGGATTAGGAGAATAGGGTTTAGGAAGGCTTTTCTTAATATTCTTCTTGACTGATTATGAATGAAGGACCAATTACATATTTATAGCGAAAGACTAGAAAAACCTAATAGACTATTCTAATATGACTCAATCACTACTACCATATCTAATAATATCCTAATTATATTAATATTGATAATTATGGTTAACCTAAAAAATAGGTTTCCATCAGATTCAAACGAAACTTAGAGTAGGCTCTTCTCGTAACTAAGAAAAAGACGATCCAACTTGAGCCAGCATTTGCGTATTTCATTTATTACATAGTTGTAAGCATACAGTTTTGCTAGTACGTACTATTTTGGCGTTATTGACGGACAAATGGGCCGGAGGCGAAAAAGAAAACGAACAGCTATTTCTTCTTCTTCTAACGATCGTGTGGTGGCTGCGGCGTGTCTAAAGGCCGGCCTTATTACGAGGGCGGATACTATGACTAAGCTGCTTAGTCAATCCTACCTCTTAGATCGGAATACATCAATTTAACCGTTGAAAAAAGAAAGGGCTTTTTAATTAGCGGTAGAAATAATATCGGTATTACGAAAAATTAAGAACTATAGGATTTACAAACAGTACAACCATACAAACAATGTAAACTAGAACAAAAAAATATACAAATAGATTTACAAACAATACAAAACATACAAACAATACAAACTAGACCAACAAACAATACAAACCATACAAAATGAAAAAAAACAACCAGGTTGACTTTAGAGGCTCCATCCCTATATAGAAGGGTTCCCTCTCAAAGTCAACTCAGTTATTTTTAGAGAGACAAACATTACAAATATAGTGGACAAAAATGACAAACTAGACCGACAAACCATACAAAATGGAAAAACAACCGGGTTGACTTTGGAGGCTACATCTCTATATAGAGAAGCTTCCTCCAAACGTCAACCATATTGTTTTTTTCGACATAAAAACATTACAAACATGGTCGAAAAAAATGGCAAAGCTTACAAACATTACAAAAGAAACCGACAAACATTACAAAAGTAACAAAACTTACAAACATTACAAAAGAAATCGACAAACAGTACAAAGCATACTAACCGTTCAGGATACCACTACTTATAATATAAATCGGTAAACTTGTATTACAAACCAATAAATACAAAGTATACAAATCATAACATAAAGTATACAAACTAGATAAACAAACATTATGAATTACAATATATACAAATAGTCATATAAATATTACAATCATAATAGACAAAAAATGACAAACAAGCATGATAAACAATACAAACTGAATTGATATAAACATTACAAACCGGACTTATAAGCATTACAAAATATGTCAAAAAAACTTTACAAATCTAGGATTGGCGCCGAAAAATCCTCCTCTGCCATCGCCCGTCGCCAGAAGAGGCTCGTCCTCCGGTTGCCGTAAAACTCTCTATCTCTCGCTTGCTTGCTTTATGGGGAGGGGGGGGGGATTTCCCAGTCAACCGCAACAAGTCTTTTCCACCGCTCGGAGGAAAAAGATTTCTCAGTCACCTCAGGAGCCGCCGGAGGCCGGAGCAAGTCAAGGAGGGGAAAAGCTCGCTGGAATAACTTCGCGGAAGGAGCCGCCAACACTGCAATGCAGGTAAATCAATCTTTTATTAATTTTATTGAAAAATACAAACCCACGCAATTACAACTTTACCCTTCATGAAATGAGATTAATTGGAACCATTGTATCTAAAAATAAATGAAGGGCTGGATTAAACTTAGTCATGTCACTAAGGGACCCACTTAGTCATCTGATCTTACCCCTTATTATTTTTCCTTGTTCTCTATTTAATCTTTTTACTTGTTATTCATTACCAAATCGGGCATCCTAACGAGCATGTTCTACGAGGGCTGCTTTAGCCCGTTCTTATGCTATGCCACTGAACCATCATTGTTGGATAACTAGAATCACAATTCGTTTACATGAGAGAGAGAAAGAGAGAGCGCGAAAATAAAAACCTAACTAACAAAATGTAGGAGAAATAGCCTATTAGTGGCTAACAACCCCCCCCCCCCCCCCCCCACACCCACAAACAAAAAAAAGGAAGATAAGTTTAATTAGGAGGTAAGTTTAGTGAAGGTATGGTCAGGAAGAGACAAAGTGGTTGAGATGTGTTGGACTTTGAGCTTGTTGGCGAATACTTGATCTCTTGTAAATGACAGTCAATTTTGATGTACTTTGTGCGACAATGTTGGACTGGATTTATTTGTCATTTTTACTGCAGGCAGACTAACGCAATAGATCATGTAGGGTTGCTTTGGTTGTAGTGGAAGCCATAGGAAGAGAAACTTTCTCCATTGGAGTTCTTGTGTTGTGTCTGCAAGTGCCCTGTATTCAGCTTCTTTAGTGGATATGGAAACAGTCTGTTGCTTTTGTGAATGCCAGTGATCAAAGAATCTCCAAGGAAGATGCAGTAGCCAACCCAATAAATGTTAGAAAATGTAGTAAGATGGTGTTTTTGTGAGAGGGAAGTAAAGGCCTTCACTAGGTGTTGTTTTGAGAAATCGAAGCAGTTTGTGGGTGGCTTGTTCATGAGTTGTTAGTGGTGCTCCAACAAACTGACTTAATTGATTGACAGTGTAGCGAATGTCTAGTTGTATATTGCATAAGTATTGTAGTCGACCTATAATACTGTGTGCTATGTCATATAGAGAAGTGCTATGTCATATAGAGGAGTGCCATCTTGACTAGGGAGATGTGAACCTGGTGTAGAAGAAGTAGTGGTAGGTTTATTAGCTATGAATCTGGTGTCTGATAACAAATGAGAGGTTTATTTTCTTTGGCATAGGTGAATGCCTTGTTTAGTTTGAGAAACTTCCATGTCAAAGAAGTACTTAATGGTAAATGATGAATCACGATGTTGCTTAACCATTTGGATTTCTGGGAAATAGTTGCGTGTCAAAATAATGTCATCGACATATATTAACAATGCAGTAAAGAAGGATCTTGATGTTATAGTGAAGAGGGAGTAGTCACTATGTGATTTGGGGTATCCCAGACTTTCCAATGTGGCTGAAAGTTTGGCAAACCCTGCCTACTTGCTTGCTTTAAGCTAGGGCTGGGAAACAGTGCGGTCTGGTCCAGACCAGACCATATATACGGTCTATGGTCCAGACCGAGAGGCTAAAGTATAGACCACAGACCAGACCACAGACTATACGGTCTGGTCCAGACCACGCATGTGCGGTCTGGTTCGGTCTAGTCTGGTCCAGATAGACCACACTCAATGAGAAACGATTAATTTGTTTAGTCAACCACATAAAAAATTGAACCAATAACCAGGAAAAATAATTATTATTTGCCTTAAATCATTAATCCTAACATGCATGAATAATTTTGATACTCTAAATCTTAGTACATAACAAAGATACAAAGTAAAAGCATCCCAACTTGCACAATAACGTCATAAGCATTAACATAATGTCATATGGAGACACGATTATCTATACTCTCTGGTTAAATGTGGTTGTCAATGAAGGAGGGACGAGATTCACAAAACTAAGGTTGAGACTTGGGTGTCGTTGTGAGAGTTGGGAGAGTGGTCGAATGGGCTGTTAACACGTAGTGACAAGTCAGTTGGGTCCACGGTTTGGTCCGGTAAACCGCGGTCTAGACCAGACCAGACCAGACCAAGAGATCAAAACATAAAATAATACAGACCATGGACCAGACCAGACCATACTTAACGGTCTACGGTCCGGACCAAACTGTGCGGTACGGTTTGGACCACAATTTTTCTAACGGTCTGGTCTATTTTCCCAGCCCTACTTTAAGCCATACAATGATTTACTAGTTGGCAAACCTTATAAGCATCAACTGGATGAGTAACTAAACCAAGAAGTTTAACCATATACACTTATTTCTTTTAATCTCCATGTAAAAAGGCTGTGTTAACATCTAACTATTCAATGAGCCAGTTATTAATGAACCTAATGCTAACATGATTCTTACAGTTGTCATCTAAAACAGGAGAAACTGTATCTTGGTAATCAACTCTCGGGATTTAATTATACCCCTTAGCTACTAGTTTAACTTTGTATTTCTCAACACTACCATTGATGACATTTTATTTATATTATTTGTCACTTCCATTCTTAATACATTGTCCCTTATATCAAGGCATCTTTAGTCACTTAAATAGTGTTTCCTATCTAAATCACAATCAATGAGCTTTTAATAGACCTAGGATATGTTCGTGTACCCTTTGATGCCTTATGAGTGTTTTTTAATGGTTTTGATAAACTAGTATTTTCTATCTAAATCACAACGATTTGATCAATGAGCCTTCAACTAGAAGTCGTTTAATAAACTCAAGACAAGCCCATAAGAGGAAGACTTGGTCCAAACTGAAGAAATAACGAGCAGCGCCCAACATTGGGCCCAACCGCCGCTATGAAGGATACATCAAGACGCCCCAAATTGCAAGGAGGAGTAGTACAAGGTCAAAGGAGTCCAGCCAACAAAGAAAAAGGGCAACGATTCCAACCACCGCCAACCCTAATCCTTACGGGAGAAGTTTACTTAGCCCACAAGGTTTAGGGGACTCTTTCTCGGTCGGCTTAGGACGTTTTTGTTCGGGTTCTCCCCTTATAAATAGAGGGCATGACTCACTAGCTTAGCGAGGATGCACAAATACATAATTTCTCTGTAAACTCTATGTGAGTGATAGCTTAGTTTTCGTAGAAGAGTCTGCGGCTAAGGAGATGTTGTAATCATCAATGGTG